GCTGGGTCCGTCTTGGGCCGTCTTGGGGCCTTCCTGGGCGTTTCCTCGGACCCTCCTGGGACTTTCTGGGGCCTCTTGGTGCATCGGACCGCCGAAACGGCGGGAAACGCAAAGGGTGTAACAGTAAACAATGGAACATTAACGATTTTTGCCAGCTGGGGCTCTCTTGCCATCTTGGCCCGTCTTGAGGCCCCGACCGGGCGCGTCCTTGGGCCGTCCTGGGCGCACCCTCCTGGGACCGTCTTGGAATCGTCTTCGGCCGTCTTGAGCGCGCCTTGGGCCGTCCTGGGCCCGTCTGGGGCCGTGTTGGCACCCTCGCGGCGAGGAAGCTCGGAGGCGGGCTCGAGGCCTCTTTGGGGCCATTTTGGAAGCTGTTGGGGCCTCTGTTGGGGCCTCGTTTGGGCTCCTTGGGAGCCTCCTGGGGCCTCTTCGGGGGATTCTTGGCGGCCCCTTGGGGCCTCTTGGGGGCCTGTTTGGGCCTCCTGGCGCCCTCTTGGGGCGGAAGGCTCGGATTTTCGGTCCGTGGTCCTCCTCTTGGCCCCCTCTTGGGCCTGTCTTCGGGCCCTCGTGGGCCGTCTTGAGCGTCTCTTGGGTCGTCTTGGGGCCCTCCTGGGCTGTCTTGGGGCGCTCTTGGAAACCTCTTGGGCCGTTCTGGGGCGCTCTTGGAGGCCTCTTGGGCCGTCTTCGAGCGTTGGAAAGCGGAAAAGGCGAGAAGGCCAAAATCCTTCCAAAACCGTCGTAAAGCGGATGATTTTGAGGCCCAGAGCCGTCCAAAACCTCCTGAGGCGGTCCCCTCGTCCGCCCCCCTCGCTTCGAAGCAGTTTTTAAGCCCCGTGGCACCTCTTGGGGACCTCTTTTGGGCTCCTGGGGGCCTCTTGGGCCTCTCTGGGCCCGTCTATCGCGCCCCTTGGGCTGTCTTGGGGCCCCCTAGGGCCTTCTTGGGCGGTCCTCGGGCCGTCTTGGAGCCATCTTGGGCCGCTCTTCGGGCCATCTTCGGGTCCCGTTGGCCTGTCTTGGGCGCCTCTGGGGCCGTCCTGGGGCCGCCTTGGACCGTCTTGGGGCCCTCTTGGACCGACTTGGGGTCCTCTTGGGGACCTCTTCGACCGTCTTGGAGCGGTCTTGGATGCCTCTGGGGGGGGGTTCGGAGCGTCGGGAAGCCGAAAAAGCGAGGAAGCACTAGGAAAGACCAATGAAAATCAACGATTTTGGCCTTTCGGGGCTCTCTTGGGAGGCCTCTTGGGAGGCCTATTGGGCCGTCTTGGGGAGCTCTTGGGCCGTCTTGGGCCAATCTTGGGCGTCTTGGCCGGATCATTGCGCGTCTCGGGGCCCTCTTGGGCCGCCTTCGGGGCATCTTGAGCGGCTCGGAGCCGTCTTTGGGCCGTCGGGGCGGCCTCCGGAGCGTCCCGGAGCCGTTTCGAGTCATTTGGGTGGATTTCCTTCCGGCACGCGGTTCCTCCGGCCATATAGTATAGATGACGTCGGACTCCAGCTTCCGTTCCCACATCTCGCTCAGCAGCGCAAGCGCCCGCTGCCACTGCTCGCCCTTCTCGCACGCGCTGATCCCAGCGCTGTAGCTGATGACATTGGGCTCCAGCTTCGCCTCCCACATCTCACTGAGCACTGATAACGCGTGTTGCCATTGCCCGCCTTTCCTGCATGCGCTGACAGTCGCAATGTAGTGGCTTGGGACGAGTTGCACACCCAATCGGATTCCTTCGCGGAGCAACCGCAGTGCGGCGATCCATTGTTTTGTCAGGCCGCAGCTCTTGATCGACGCTTCGAGGGGCATAACGCCTTCTTGAGACTATCTGGGAAGCCATGGCACCGGGGCTTGAGCCAACATGGCTTGAACCAAAAAATTGTGTCTTTGTGTGTCTGTGTGTGCCTGTGTGTCTGGGGGTATATGTCTGCGCGTGTGTGTGTGTGTGTGTGTGTGTGTGTGTGTGTCTGTGTGCGTCTGTCTGTGTGTTTGTCTGTGTGCCTGTATGTGTGTCTATGTGTCTGTGTGTATATGTGTGAGCGTCTGTGTGTGTGTGGCTGTGTGTCTCTGTGTGTGTCTGTGCATGTCTGTGTGTGTGTGTGTGTTCGTGCGTGTGTGTCTCTGTGTGTGTATGTCTGTGTGCGTCTGTGTGTGTGTGTGTGTGTGTCTGCATGTCTGTGTGTGTATGTATGTGTGTGTGTGTGTGTGTGTGTGTGTGTGTGTGTGTGAGTGTGTGTGTTGTGTGTTTGTCTGTGTGTGTGTGTCTACATGCGTGTGTGTGTGCGTGTGTGTGTGTGTGTGTCTGTGTGTGTGTGTGTCTGTGTGTGTGTGTGTGTGCGTGTGTATGTGTGTCTGTGTGTGTGTGTGTGTCTGTGTGCGTCTGTCTGTGTGTTTGTCTGTGTGCCTGTGTGTGTCTATGTGTCTGTGTGTATATGTGTGTGCGTCTGTGTGTGTGTGTGGCTGTGTGTCTCTGTGTGTGTCTGTGCATGTCTGTGCGCGTGTGTGTGTGTGTGTGTCTATGTGCGTCTGTGTGTGTGTGTGTGTGTGTGTATGTGACTGCATGTCTGTGTGTGTGTGTGTGCGTGTGTGTGTGTGTGTTTGTTGGTGTGTGTGTGTGTCTACATGCGTGTGTGTGTGTGCGTGTGTGTGTCTGTGTGTGTCTGTCTGTCTGTGTGTGTGTGTGTGTGTGTGTCTGTGTGTCTGCATGTGTCTGTGTGTATGTGTGTGTGGGTGTGTCTGTGTGTGTGTGTATGTCTGGCTGTGTCTCTGCGTGTCTGTCTGAGTGTCTGTGTGCGTCTCATGTTGTGTCTCTGTGTGTCTGTGTGAGTCTGTGCGTGTGTGTGTGTGTGTGTGTGTGTGTGTGTGTGTGTCTGTGTGTGTGTCTGTGTGTGTGTGAGTGTGTGTGTGGGTGTCTGTGTGTCTGCGTGTGTCTATGTGTGTTTATGTGTGTCCATGTCTGCCTGTGCGTGTCGGTGTGTGTGTGTGTGTGTCTATGTGAGTTTTGCGTGTGTGTGTGTGTGTGTGTGTGTGTGTGTCTGTGTGTGTCTGTGTGTGTATGTACGGAACTACACATCCTGATCAGGGCAACTCGCCTGGGTATCGTTTCTGGATGGGCTCATGGGGTTACGTGGAGCGTCCAGAACTCACAACAGCGCCGTGCAAGCACCAGGCCGCGTCGTATTATCGGAATCTGCCGACACCCGCTTGCTGAGGGTGAAAAATCGGGGACGCGCAAACATGGATTAGCGAACCATGGATTTGGTGCGTCGTCGCCAAATCCACGGATCGGGGGAGGTGCCCTTCCCAAAATGTGGCCGGTGCCGCCTCGCTCGAGGGTGGAAATCCGCGATTCCTCATGGAAACGGGACCCGGCGCTAATCCACGCCTCCTTAATCCATGTTTGCGATCGCCTGGAAAAAGCGTGTTGGAAATTTGGCTTCCGCTCCCCCACCCCGCTTTCCTCCTTTCCCTCTCAGGGTCCGAGATTCTGTTCTCAGGGTGACTACCTACCAGACCACCTCAACTCAACCCGAAGACCCGAATTTCGCGTTGGGGGGAGGTATGGGCTCCATATGTGTTTTTTCGATGTGGCCCGACCCCACCCCCCACTGGAAATGGAGGGCAAATTGAAGCCTTCGGGTTGGGTTGGCGTGGCTTGGTGGGTGGTGATAGGGGGGGGGAACTGCGCACCCACTGGGGCCCTCAGAGCCTCCAAGTCCACTGCCCACCGTGGCCGCCAGAAGGCTCCAGAAAAGGCTCTGGAACGCCAGAGAGGCCTCAAGGGTACCCATATGCATTGCCTCTGGACGGCCCAAGACGCCCCAAGAGTGCCCCAAGCTAGCCTACAATTTTTAGGCTTTCTTTGAGATTCTCGCATTGTCGGGCTTCTGGCATCCGAACCCTCCGAGCGGCCTCTCCGGCCGGCCCGAGAGGCCCCAGGGACGGCCCGAGAGGGCCCCTTGAGGTGGCTCCAAGAAGCCCAAACACGCCCTCACGGGGGCCCCAAGTTGGGCCCGAGAGAGAAGCCCACGAGGGGGGACTCGCAATGACCCCGGGGCCCCTCCCCAGGATGTCCCCCGGGACCCCCCGCAAAAAGTGCCCCCAGAGGGCGCCAAGCAGTCCCCGCGAGCCTTGACAAGTCTCCGGGAGGCCGCCCCTGGCCTCCAGGAGGCCCCAGAACTCCCCGCAGCAGGCGCGGAGGCAGGAGGAAGACACATCAGAAACAACTGCTGCACGCAGGCAACACGACGGGAAGCGGCGGCAGTCACGTACGGCATCGGAGGCCGCACTCATCCTCTTCTGGGGGTCGGCGGAACGGCGTAGGCCTCTTAACGGCCAGAACCGACACCAAATCGGTCTCGCATCGGATCGACTCTGATACTGATGCCCGCGAGGCCGCCCAGGTGGGGTCGGAGCAGATTGAGCAGATGGGATCGGAGGTGCACGGTTTCCCCTGGGGCCGTAGGTGACCCGAGGAGGAGGAGGAGGAGGAGGAGGAGGAGGAGGAGGAGGAGGAGGAGGAGGAGGAGGAGGAGGAGGAGGAGGAGGAGGAGGGAGGAGGAGGAGGAGGAGGAGGAGGAGGAGGAGGGAGGAGGAGGAGGAGGAGGAGGAGGAGGAGGCCTCGTTTTTGCTCTCCGTGCGCGGCCCCCGAGGTCCCGACAGCTCCCCCAGGGGCAAGTCCTGCCATCGCTCGGGCGCCCATCCGCCGTGCACTTTTCGGATTCGCGCGTGTATTTTTTTTCCCACGGTGGCCCCAAAGGCTCCTCGATGGTCCGCGCCGAGGAAAAAATGCACAAGCCCGAGCGATGCCAAGAAGTGGCTCGGGTCCTGGCGGCGGGCACCAGAGGCCGAGACCCAGGAAACTCGCCAGGACTGGAAACGAAACCTTCTGGTACCGGCGGGGATCTGGGGATCGAAATTGCCCCTCCTCCTCCTCCTCCTACTCCTCCTCCTCCACCTCCTCCTCCTCCTCCTCTTGA